ATACTATTTTATATAGTATAATATTTGCTATTATATTTACTTACTTTTATTAATTACTATTATATTTACTATTATTATATGTACTATTACTGTGTGTACTATTATATATACACTATATCTATTATAAAATTGATTTAGGATATTTCTGAAATTAGTCTTTAAAAAATTATTGATAAATATAGTAATTTCGGTACCTTTTAATTTTCAAATAAGAGAAAGATAGAAATAAATTTCTTTTAAGCAGATTTAAATATAAAATAATAAAATGTAAAATAAAATATAAATAATTAAATGATAAAATTGTGAATGTATACACAAATACAGAATAAAAAATAAATTTCTAAATAATAGATATGTAATGAACTAGTATTATCTAATTATCATACTATTTCATCTACGTTATCACATCTCTTGATATATATCAAAATCTTTTTCAACTCATTGATCTGCATTCTTCCAGAAAAATATTTTTAAACAAAAATTGATGATTTATTTCAATAAATAAATGGTAAACAGAATACTAAACTCATAAATTTATAAACTAAGTAATATCTAATAAAACAGGTGAATTTAAAGCACTGAGATGCATATTAATATCCAGTTCAAGATACTTTATCTATAAAATTTAAAAACAAAATATAATTTGAACGAAATCAGATAGAATTTCTTCTGGTTAGATATAACAGTGTACATATGTACATTCGATTAATTTTCGAAAAGAGAGTATATGGACATGTATATACATATACGTATCGAAAGAGGAGTGCAACAAAATGTATTTTCACATAGACGCGAGTGAACAGTAAAAGCCAGAATTTAAGAGAATTGACTTGCATGATACGGGCACACCGTTTGAAAAAAAGGGATATTCTATTACCCATAGTTCTATTCGGTCCTGACCTTCCATTTTGATTTTTCTGGCCATCGTGATATGAAGTATATATTGAAGTATAATTTAGTTAATTTATCAAATTAAACGAATTAACTTTAATTTTATAAAATAATATATACTTAGAAATAATATAAAATTTGTAAAAGGAATATAATTATTTTTAAATGTATAATAATAATTATATTCCTTTTACAAATTTTATATTATTTCTAGTATATATTATTTTATAAAATTAAAGTCAATTCGTTTAATTTTATAAATTCTATTTAAAATAATTTCAATATACTAAACATTCTCCAATCTAAAATACAAATTACTTCAAAATATTCTATTTTTTTACTTAAATAATATATATATATATATATATTACGTAAATTAATTTCATATAACAAATGAAAACTAACTTGGGTGTTATTATACATAATTTTCTAATTTTATTATTTTTAATTTTCAACTAAAAGAACTCTTGACTGCAATGTTTAAATAAAAATAAGAAGAGTGTTTTTGTAATAATGAATAATAGTTTTATTACTTTTTATGCTTTATCGCCTGCGAGAAAACTTTAAACGAAATTTAAATAAGCAGGAAAATAATGAGAGAATAAAAAGGAAAATCGTTTGACATGTTAGCAGTTCTCCTTTAATTTGAAACGCCCTGCAAGAACAAGAAGTGTTTCGCCAACAATTTAGAAGGAATTCAAAGATTACTTTGCAATTTCATCGAGCAGAATTGCTACTTCACTTGTTTAATTAGTAAAACATTTGAGGATACTGATTGATGTCCAGTACAGAGGATAACTCACGTATTTAAACTGTTAAATTGTCATCAGAAATAAATACAAAAATTCGTATAATGAAATATTTCGAAATTAATTTTTCTTACTATTTGAGTTAATATCTTGTCATAAATAATCATAGTAATCCATGATAATGTATCATATCATAATATAATAAAAAAAAAATTGTTTCTATAAAAAACAAATAAATTACTCAAATTATTTCTATTTTGGTCATATGATACACAAAGTAGTTACTTTTATGATTTTTTGAAGTCATTAATACATATTACATATAATTCCTTTCCTTTAAAAAATTGTTGATAAAATCAGGATTTCAATTTGTGGAAATTATCTTATGCAAATTTCAGATGACAATTATTTAAACTTTCCAGGATAGGAGCGTGAGAGGTTAAATACATAAAATGTCTCTTTACTTCGGTATATTTGCTATGTACACTATGACTCATAGTGAATAATCTCGCTTAAGCTCTCACAAAATTTTCTCGTGAATTCCGGCCACGATCTCAAAATCTTTCCTCGCCAACTCTTAATACGGTTTTTTCGAAGCAATTTTCGATCCATAGTAATCAAATTTTTGGACTAACAATGTAGATTCTATTAATATATATCTCAATTCACAAATCTCTATCACAATATCCTAAATACTTTGTATTCCACATAAAAACATCGTGTAACATTCAAATTTGTTAAAATATTATGAAAAACATAAATAATGTTAAAAAGAGATATAATTTTAGTGCAGCGAGTAATCTTAAATACGAAGTTCAATAATATAATTAATTACAGACTGTGTTTTTAATATTAGTTTAAAATATTGAAACTGGAAAATTATCAAAATTAATTTAAACTAAAAAATTAATTATTATAACGATTTCACTAAATTTCATTAAAAATCAAATTTATAATAAATTTAAACATCTAAATTACTCACTACATCTTCTCAGTGCACGATATCTTATGTCAAGCAATTAACAGAGCTAATTAACATGTTTCATCGCGAGTATACGTTATTAATACAATTTTCGTTAAGTAGACAAGAATATTCTTCAATCTTGTATTAAAACAATGCAGGGAAAGAAAAATAAGATCAATCAGTATTGTATAAAGCTTCCAATAATTTATAAATTAATTTCCTTATAATATTTTAATCAATTTAATGAATTTTAATATCACGTTGGCAGCGTTGAATTTCGCACGAGAAACTTATTAAACAGAGAATTTAATTATTGTCCTCCAGCGCACAAGAAACTCGTGATTCGCAAAATTCGCAGAAATTCCCTTTTCCAAATATTCCGTTATTTCCATCTCGCTCTGTGATTCGCCAAGTGAAGTAAATCGTACGCGTGGAATAATTAAATAAAATGCCAAAGTGGAATGCTTGCGTCGAGTTTAAAAAACAAATAATTTTCATAGTATTACGATATTATTTACTTTGAATTTCATACGATATTAATAGAAATTTTGCATACTGATATCGATACCAGTATTTAATAGGAACCATCAGTCTCGATATACAGGGTATCCGACTTTCATTTATGATTTATTTTATTTATTAATCAATAAAGCGAGAATAATCTTTCAATCAAAATTTCTCGTTAATTACTCGCTGTATGAAAAATGTTTCCGACGAAAATTAAATGATTCCAAGGAAGCCATAAAACGATATTACCTTTTCTTTAAGTGGACAATTGGAGAATATATTATATAATATATAAAATATATAAAATAATTACATCATTTGATGGTCTCTTCGCAATCATTTGTTTTTGTTATAAACGTGTTTTATGCAACGAGCAGCTAACAAGAACTTTTCATTTGTAAATTAAAATCGAACACCCTCTATAAAATTCCTTTAATTAAATAGAGAGCCAACCCATTGACATGAATACTGCCATATACATATATATATATATATATATAGGATCAGATTTTGGTTGGATTGATTTAAGATAGTATTGTTGGCTTCTTAATAGAATAAAATAAGCTTATAAATAGAATGACGACTATGACACAAGAGAGATTCGCTATGGGCACGCTCTTCTGATCTTTCTTAGACTGACTTGGACTTCTTACACACTTTCTGACTGACACACTGGCACACTCTTAATGACTGCAAAAAGACTGGCTTAAAAAACTCTTAAAGACTGACTCGCCCACGCCCTTGCACCCTTATTTAACACTAGAACGACTAACCCAGTGAAAATGACTGGTCCCAGAATTTTTCTTTTTGCAATCACCGATCACATACACCTGCTTTAAGAATAAAATTGGTATCAACTCATATTAAGAAGGAACTGTAATCAATATATTCACTCATATTCATTGTATCGCTGAAATTACCATAATATGTGCACGTTATAGTTAGGTACCCATGAACCCATTTGCTTCCAAGCGCGGAATATTCCGCGAGCCACGACTGTCGTCTATCACCGAGCGCGGAATATTCCGCGAGCTACGACTATCGCCTATCACCGAGCGCGGAATAATCCGCGAACTGACTTTTTCCATTACCAGTTGCTGAATATTCTTCATATGCCACAGATCACGTTTTATCCCTTTTATGAGTATCTCATCTGCGTCGGTTCATTATATTCTTAACAAGTTTTACTTTTGTCGTGAAAATCATATTAACTGCCATTATGAGTAGGTGCTGATACGCGAGCGGTGATACGGGCTAGTCGTCAGTTGAACGTCGCTGATGCCTTAACACGGCACCTTAAGTAGAGCCATGATGCAAATGGGTTAAAGATCGGTACTTAGTTCTAGTGTTAAACCATTCATTCTGTTCTTTTCCATACCCAGGCTTTCATTCCCATTCATGCCCCTTTTCCATGCAACCTCTGTGGACCAGGTACTTCAACCATTCTGGTTGCATCCCTAAATTTTCACTGGACTCTACCATAAATATTCTTTGCAGTCAATCCTCTTGCACACGGTCACTTTCGTTCTAAGCCCAAACACTCTTGACATTCTTTCAGGGCCGTCCTCATTCCAATCCTGCATATATGATACTATATTTTTATTTATCAAGTCAAATATGAATCATGGTAAAAAATAATTCTTTTATTTCTATTGTCAGTGTTGACATTTTCGATTTGAGGAATTGTTCTCGACTTGTAATTATGTCTTGTAATTTATTGGGTATTATATGCATCACTATCTCCACTTCTCATCTGCAAAGGGTTGAAATATTAATTAAAGAGGACAAGCATAATAATAAATATTAGTAATACAAATAATAATTGAAGATACGAGATGATTGTAAAAAAAATATAATAAATACCAATGTATTTGTTCCAGGTTGTGAAAATGATGATTGTGGTGGTGGTAATATTTGCAGTATGTTGGTTACCTTTCCACGTGTACTTCATCATAGTGTCATACTTCCCAGAGATTACTAACGAGCCATACATCCAAGAAGTTTTCCTAGGTATTTACTGGCTAGCGATGTCTAACAGCATGTATAATCCCATAATCTACTGCTGGATGAATTCTAGGTAAAGTATTACGTTCAAACAGCACATAAGTACCTTTAAGTAACGTTTGAGAAATTTAAAGCACGTATTAATTGAGGATCATCGCTTAATTAATTAGTCTTATCAAAAGGTAGCAGTGGTTGCTTAGCTGTAGAATTAATTAAGACTAAAAATAGACTGAAAAGTTGATTAAGCATAGTTATGACCATTATATTATTTATATATTATTTATATTATTTATATTGTTTATATATTATTTATACATCATTTTATCATTTTATTAATTTTTTATTTATCGTTTTTCTATTTTATATATTATTTATATGTTTATATTATTTATGTATTATTTATAATTTTTTATTTATCGTTTTCCTATTTTAGCATTTATTTTGTATTCTTCATTTTATTACGTGTTATCTGCTTCATTACTCGTATTGTTGTTCAATAACTTTTAAACAATGAGATATCTACGTGATCTTTTCATATGATTTTTTATAGCGAATCAAATGTGATATTAACAGATAAAATTAATTACCGAGTTTTAATTAACCAAAAAGTTATATTTCGACTGTTCTTTTCAGAGAAATTCAATTAATTAAAAATTTGCTGCATACGAATATTTCATAATTGTCTATCGGGAAATTTTGTAATCCTTTGACAACAAAAAATCAATAACAAACTTTTCTCATTACACAACTAATTATTCTGTAATTATGAAAATTCTAGACGTAAAGGAAATTTTAAAAATTTATGAAATAGAATAATATTAATCAATTACTATTTGGAACAACAATTAGAATTTGGAAAATTATTTTCATTATTCATTTAACCTTTACATACATCAAAATGTATGCACATCATTATCGAACAGTCGGTAACCATTTTAATTTTTAGTAATAATTACATACGGGATATTCGCAATATATTATTTTATTTCTAAATATTTATAGTATTAATTCCAAGACGCTCCTTCCTCGCATTAGTGAAGTCAAAAACAAAGGAAAAAGTGCAATAGCAAATTCTAAATTATATATAAATTATAAAATCATTTCCGATGTAATAATTTTTCGAAATACAATTCAATTTAATGTAATCCAATATTTCACGCAATACTGACGTATAATGATCAAATTTCGAAATTTTTGTTACAATTTTTATGACGTGAAACAATATTTTACTACATGCATTATTTATGTAACATGGTCATTGTAAAATTTGGAATCTACTTATTTAACATTAGGATTTAATTGCTAAAAGTTTGCAACAAGTACTTCGATAGAACTTTATTAATTACGATATCGTCACTGCGCAAAGTAATTATACTTAGATTAAATGTTAGAACAACTCTTGAAACTGAATTTCACCCCTACCCACTATCCTATTTACATCTTACCAGTATATACAGATTTCCGCAGAATTTAATAAAATTAATTCATTGTTATTACTATTATTTTTACTTCAAATTAATATTTATACTACACTGCTTATACTGTAATAATTATACGTATACTTCTGAACCAAATGAGAGCCAAATAAGTATTAATATTTGATAGATATTCTATTTAAAAAATTAATTTTATTGTTCATGGAACAACCCCTGCAGCTCTAGTGTATAAATAAAAATTTTATTTACCAAATAAGAGCGAAATAAGTATTAATATTTCATAGGTATTCTATTTAAAAAATTAATTTCACTGTTCATCGAACAACTTCTGTGGCTCTAGTGTGTAAATAGAAATTTTAATTGCGGTACGTTTACATATGTATATAGGTATATAGGATATACATATCAAAGAACCGCATGAACCGTCGAAGACAAATCCAGACAACATTGTTCGTCCCGCAAACTGAATGAAACGGGTGCGAGATGATTGATTTGAAAATAGCCATTTACCAGAATCCCTTTACATGTCAAGCACAGGAATTGTTTCGGTGAAATTTTACCGCGTACCGGTATCATCGTTTCGTACTCAAACAACTAAAATAGTACCATCCGTAACGAACAATTTCCTCACAATAGTCCAATAGGTTCTCGTCGCAGGCACTTGTATATATGTATATACACACGTCAGGCATGTACATATCATGTATATACACGAAATAGAAAAAAAACAAAAGAAGAGATGAAACGTACGTCGTACTTTTTCGCTATCCATTAAACTTTAACTCGTGTTTTCGTATACCCAGTATACCCAGCAATATTCAGTTCACAATACGATTTTCAATTAAGTTGTTACTTAGTCAAAGGATAAACGAGATATAAGATTTAACACTGCGAGTCTTTCGGTCAGGATTTCGAGGACACTGGCGCCCTCTTACCATTTCCGTATCAACTACAACGTTACCGACAGAGTACCGAAACTGATTATTGCGTATGGTGGTAACAGTATTGCATTCGGATAAAGCATTCTGTATTTACGATAAAAACACATTTCGATTTATAAAAAAATAACGCTTGTAAACAAAAGTGAACATTTTGAAAAACTTTTTTCTACATACATGAAAACCGTTCTCTCTTAGTTTTCTAAATATGAGTCTATTTGTGATGCTCTCAATCACAGTAGCGAATTCAACTAGATATTATAATGAAATGTATTTGCTTGTATCTGTTATAGAAAATGTTTCGTAATAGGTTCCGACTGCCTTAACGCTGTAGAAAAATATAATCCTCATCCAAGTTTTGTCACTTCGAGAAACACTTCTTCAAATGGTCGTCGTTTTTGTACAGAGGACACTATAATCAATCTTATATTTTTCAGTCGATAGGGCAGTCAGAGATGAGCCATATAAAAGTCTATAATGTTAAGTCTATCCTATACCTTGTTTGTGCCTACATCTGGTCTATGCTCATGCTCGTTTATCTGCTTTACCGATAGATGGGAAAAGATGATCTCTTGTTTTGCAGATTTCGACGTGGATTCGCACGTTTCTTCTCCTGGTGTCCCATGGTACATGTGCCTCCTGAGCCTTCGCTGTCACGATCCGAAGCCCTGACATCTCGATACAGTTGCACTGGAAGTCCTCAATCAAACACCAGAATATCACGGAACGGTACGTCCTCGTGCACATCCTTGGAACATCCATGCGCCACATCGAGCACAACATCCACGAGCGAGTCACGCTTCGAGCACGACGACACCTACACGGACGCACGAAATTCTTACATAGACTTGCACGACCTCAGCGCCACCAGCGTCGTCGTTGGTGATACCAATGCCGACGTTTACCGCGAGATGTAGTAACGAAATCAAAACGACGGTGAATCCGTTCATTGTTTCCGCACGGAAGCTGTTACGCTCTCGGTAACAGGTAGCTCTTAACAACTTATTGGCACGATCGAATTGGAAAACCTTGCTAAAATGCGGTTTTATCCCTTTCGTAGCCTCGCGTGAAATAGTTTTGCTTCGAACGATCGATGAGAAATATCATTACACTTCAGGGTCTAAGATATTAATTTTATATACATGCATATTCGGAGACTTTAATAAGTCGTAAGGAGGAAAAGTAGAAAGTAGAAAGTTAATTTATAACTTTCATCGGAAGTAGTATTGGTACGGTAAAGAGAAATTATTTTCTACTTCTATTCAATTTATTCATGATACATATGTTTAATCACAAGTCACATATGCATTATGCAATAACGATGCATAGTTTCTGGAGAACGCTATTTGTTAATATTGATATAATGATATTTACATTCTAGACCCTGGTTTTTCATTAAACAGTTCATAAAAAGAAATTCATGACTAGAATATATGGATGTTTGAAGCTCCTTTATTCACGTATATCCTACGAAAAATAATTCAATATTCTGCTGTAAAAAATACTATTGAGTCGGCCAAAAAGTAAGGTTAATATTTTAAATATAAGGTAGTAGGCATTTTTTTAACTAAAACTAACTAACTAAACTAAAATAAAATAGTAGTCATCTTTTTAAAACGAAGGAAATTTTATTAAATAATATATTGAATATTTTGATCTATAACCTTTTACCATCTTGTGAGTAGCTGTATGATTCTAAATAGCATATAATTATATTTTACAAATTAGAGGTATTAATTTGCGTTTAAAAACAAAAAAGCACCATCTACTGCAAAAATGTGACAGTACCTTTTGGTCAACTCAATACAATCTTTCAAACTTAATTACATTTTACTCTCCTTTTTACAAGTTTTTAACAGTTTAAATATTTCTATTTATTATTTATAACTTTCATCTTCTAACCCAGAAATCTAGCTATTTGACTTGAAATAGCAAACACTGCTTTTGCATAAACAGTAAAGTATTATATGAGCAAGAATAAACGAAGCAATTAAAAATATTCCATATCCTCTACTAACTCCGACCTTCCATATATGACTAAAAGATCAGCTTACACATACACGCACACGCTCTTATGCATCGATACTCTCTCGCTAAATTAAATTACGATTCGGTAAAAATCGATTCAAATGAAATCATGGTTCGATATAAACGACGTCTGTTTCTATTTTCAATAGGCATGGCACGAATACCTTTATACCTACAATCTTCGAGAGGAGGAAACGATCGGTTCTTGGCCCAACATCGAGGGAGAAAGTGGAAAACTTCGCAAACCATGGGCCACGTATCTTGACAGGAGGAGGAAAACCCACAGCAACGAGTACATACCTGGATATAAGAGTACATATCCTACGCTACGGACCTCTTTAAGATTCATCTGACGTGAAACAAGAGAGGTTAGGAAGGAGCAAAACATGCCGTTTCTCCTTCACCACGTAGACCCATGATCGACCAGAAAGAAAGCTCAAATACTGTTCACTATGTTCAATAGAAACATTAACCATCTACTAAATATTAAATAATGTTTCCGTCTTGGTGTAAAACAACCGCTGAATCGAGCTTCAAAACGACGACGAGAATTTCTATCATGTCCACACGTGCTCAAATTTTTGAAAATGTCACAAATATTTCTTTGCACTGCTACACGATATAAAATGTTAGACAAGTTACTTTTACGTTAATTTCTAAATGTTATTTTATTTAGATTCACAATATTTGGACTCGTTGTTCAGTACATATATGTACGTATAAATGATGACGGACCAATAACATAACCTATCGCTACCTGGGTACTTTAACGTAATGTTTCCTTTTTCTATTGAAGAAAAGTCGAATACTTATGAGAAATTTATAACGAGGATATAGATTGTGGTATAGTAGCTTAATGTGTGATACTTGTTTGTGAAACATAAAGTGCTTAATTAAATTAATCTTCGTGTTCCTACTGTGTATCGATATCAAATTGAGTAGCAGAGAATACTAATTTCCATTGAGCAAAGCTGTTTCCTATTTCAGACTATAGTTACTCGGAAGAAGTAAAATCTATATTCTTAATGAGATTTTGCTACTCGCGTAAACTCGTGTATTAATAATTTCGCTCAATTGTCATTGTTTTGTGAAACATAACGAAGATTTCGTAATCGATATAAGATACGAGTATATTATCCTCATATAATTTAAACGAAGTTGTGAAAAATAATCATTTTTGTCAAGAGAAAGTACGAGTGTTCTTGTGAGTAAATCAATCGTTAGTACAATTTGAATAATTTTATTGAAGATATAATTACTTAATTCTGTTCGAAATTCTGTTTCAATGATTTTTAAATTATCTTGATTATTTATCGTATCTATTTAACAAAATTTTTATGGTATATTATAAATTATTAATCCGTTGTAAACATTAGTCGCTTATGTTACGAATTTTTGTAAAAATAAATTTAGTTTATCGATGTGTGTGATACTATAGTTCGAAAATTTATTTTTTCTGATTAAAAGAACAAAAAAAGAAAATGTATATCTGTCATTAATGATATTGCATTAGCAACGTTGTTCTTCCGTTATTTCCAGAGTAAAGAATATGTCCAAGAAATAAATAAACGAAGATGTTCTCTTTTATGCAATGCAGAGAAAGAACACACTGGGAAAAATAAACGCTTTTTAATATACTAGTTAAGTGTAAATGTATACGTGACTGTATTGAATGTAATAAGAAAGCTTATGGGTAAGGTAAGAAGTGAAATATTGTTCGATATGTACAAAAGTATGTGAATATTAATTTAAGAGGCTACTACTTC